GGATGCGGGAAGTGAGCGTTTGCATCATCAGAAGAAACTACCGCGGAGGCCGCGGGGGCGCCCGGCGCAGAGGGCGGGATCGCGGGGAAGCCGGGCCAGCACCGCCCCCGCGGGCGGAGCCGCGGCCCCCGACCTCCCGGGCTCGTCCTCTGGGGCCCCTGTGGCTTCCTGAGGACACGGTTCCAGGGCTCCTGACTGAAGCCAGCCCCGTATTTAACTCTTTAAATGCTGAAGGGCTTGTGACGTGGAAACGAGCATAATCAAACCCGTTCCCTTCATCAAACCAAACCTAGCGAGATCTTGCAAATTACATACTTCCTTCCATTTACAACTGGTCAATGAAGCCATGGAGTTACTAAAGCTTGATCGATACAATAACTGCACCCTAGATTAGGGTACCTTTCCTTATTTGAGAGTATTGGGAGAAAAAGATCATTTGAAAGAAAGAGTCAAAGGGCTTTTTAAGTCATTTTAAAGTGAATTTAGTAAAGAAGTCACATAAAATAGTAACCTAGTTTTTGAGCTTAGAGGGAGCCTTAAAAACACAGTAAATTTTCCATTCCAATACCTCATTCAAACTAAAAATTCCTTTGATTCTGATTGAAAGATTTCAGATATTTATAGCTTTAGTAATTGATTATTGAAATTTTAAAAAGGATAATTATTGGGTCTAGTGTTTTTAAATATGAACATGATGTAGAAATATTTCATTGATAGGTGTCGCATCAATATTAAAAACAAGGGCATCAATATTAAAAACAAAACATTTCAAAGCACTGTTAAAGAGCACTTAAATACCTAGATTTCCAAGCTTTCTCTCTTTTTTTTTTTTTTTTTTGTCCTTTTTGTCTTTTTTTGTGACCGGCAACGGATCGCAACCCTCAGTGTTGTGCCCGTACCGGACTGGGACCGGCAATGGGATCGCAACCCTCGGTGTTGCAACCGCACCTCACTCAGCCAGTGAGCCGCCGGTCTGTATGCGGGATCCGAACCCTCGGCCGGAGCGCCGCTGGGCTCCCAAGCGGCACACTGTAGCAGTGCGCCACCGGGCCGGCCCCCAAGCTTTCTCTTTTAACAAATTCTAATCTGATTTTTAATGGATATACTTTTTCCATTCTCTTTCATGAATGGTATAAAGCCAAGATCTGAAGCACAAAGACGGGGGGAATAGAAAACCACAATTACCTAAGTGAAAATAAATGATCACCTTACGGCAAACACTGAGTGCAAAACACAGTAATTAATACCATTTTCTATACAGCAGAATAACATCCAATTTGGATCACCAACCAAAAAGGGTTTACGTTTTAAAACAATAAAAAGATTTTGTCGTAGAGAGAAATCCACAGACCAAAGCCAACAGGATTATTAGAGCAAGGTTCCAGTTTACATCTGGTGTCTGTGACACAAATCCTCACCCAGAAACCAGATGGAAGCACAAGTCAGCATCAGCAGAAACAATGGAGAACTTAGTATTATTTTCCATCTCCTTGTAGGGTATCCCCTAATGTCTGACCAATACTACCATTAAATATGCAGCTTATTTAGAACTTAGTATGGGTCAAGACCTTTACATACCTTGTCATTAATTCTCATACCAAGTATTTTCATTCCCACTTTACAAATGAGGCAACAGAGACAAAAGGAAGAATCCACCTAAGTACAGAGAGCTAGAAACCAGCATAACTGGGATTTGAACTGAATACAAAACTGTACCTCTTTCCTTAAGATTGGAATGTCCCTGAACAACTTCAGCAGTCTCTGGAAAGGTAAGCAGAAGCCCAAACATGAAAGACCTGTGAGTCTTGTTGGGTACCTGTGAGTCCTGTTGGGTATTACTACCTCTGGGGCATTCCAGAGGGGCTGTTCAGGAGGTGGCTCCATATGTAGATCAGAGGAATGGCTTTATCCAGAGACAATGACTTGGGCGTTGCCAGCATATAAAGATCATACAAGTTTGGGTGTGGATGGGAGCCTCCCAAGGATCCCTGAAAAATATAAACACTTAAAGGATGAGCAGAGGAAGAACCTCTAATGTAAATAGAGGAATGCCTATAAATGAGAGAAAACCAGGAGGGTGTAATGCCTCAGAAATCAAGAGTATTTCAGAAAGAAAGGAGTCAACTATAACAAACATAAAAGCAAGTCAACTGTAGTCTTGGATCAGATAGTTGGGGTAATTGGTAGATGCAAAAATCCTCAACAAGGGCCGGCCCGGTGGCACACTGCTACAGTGCGCTGCTTGGGAGCACGGCGGCGCTCCCGCCGGGGGTTCAGATCCCACATACGGACCGGTTCCCGCTCACTGGCTGAGCGAGGTGCGGGCGTGGCACCAAGGGTTGCGATACTGTTGCCGGACACGAAAAAAGACAAAAAGAAAAAAAAAAAATCCTCAACAAAACTAGCTAACTTGATTCTTCCTCTGCTCATCCTTTAAGTGTTCGTATTTTTCAGGGATCAATTAATGTCAGCACACCACATTAACAGAACAAAAGAAAAAAACACATAATCATCACAATTGAAGCTGAAAAGACTTCAATTGGACAAAATGCAACACCCTTTCATGATTAAAAAACACTCAGAAAACTAGGAACAGAAGTGAAATTCCTCAATATGATAAAGTACATTGTAAAAAAAACCACAGCTACCATTATATTCAATGATGGAAAAATAAAAGCTTTCACTCAAAGATCAGCAACAAGACAAAGATGCCCATTTTCACCAGGGCTATTCAACACTGTACTAGAAGTAGCTTGATCACTTAGGTAAGACAATGAAATAAAAGGTACCCATATTGGAAAGGAAGAAGTAAAACTATCTCTATTTGTAAATGACATGATCCTATATATACAGAAAATTCCAAAGAATCAACCAAAAAAAAAAAAAAAAAAAAAAAACCACAAAAAATCCCCCAAAACTCTAGTGGAGCTAATAAACAAATTCAGCAAAGTTGCAGAGTATAAGATCAACCCACAAAGATTAGTATTTCTATACACCAGCAATGAACAGTCCAAAATGGAAATTAAGAAAATTCTATTTATAATAGCATCTGAGCTAGCCAGTTAGCTTAGTTGGTTAGCATGTGGTACTAATAACAACAAGGTCTAGGGTTCGATCCCTGTACCAGCAGCAAATATATATACATATATATATATATATATATATATATATATATATATAAAATAGCATCCAAAAGAGTCTGGCCAGTTAGCTCAATTGGTTAGAGCACAGTGTCATAACACCAAGGCCAAGGGTTTGGGTCCCTGTACCAGCAAGCCACCAAAAAAACAAAAACAAAACAAACAAACAAACAAAAAGATAAAAAAAACTTAGGAATGAATTTAACCAAAGAGATAAAAGACTTGTACAGTGAAGACTAAAAAATATTGCTGAAAAAAATTAAAGATGACAAATAAATGGAAAGGCATCATGTGATCATGAATAGAAAGACTTAAAGTTGTTAAGATTAAGATGTCAATACTACCCACACCAATCTACAGATTCAACGTAATCCCTATCAAAAATTTTTTGCAGAAATGGAAAAGACAGGCCGAGCCCGTGGTGCACTCGGGAGAGTGCGGCACTGGGAAGCGCAGCAGCGCTCCCGCTGCGGGTTCAGATCCTATATAGGGATGGCCGGTGCGCTCACTGGCTGAGTGCGGCGCGGCCGGTCTCAAAAGAGGACAAAAAAAAAAAAAGAAATGGAAAAGACAATTCTTAAATTCATATGGAATTGTAAGGAGTCCAGAATAGTCAAAATGATCTTGAAAAAAAAGAACAAAATTGAAGAGTTCATGCTTCTTGAATTCAAAACTTACTAAAAGCTACAGTAATCAAAACAGTGTGGCACTGGCATAAGGACAGACACATAGACAAATAGAGTAGAATTGAGAGTCCAGAAATAAACCCATACATCTATGGCCAATTGATTCTTGACAAGGGTCCCAAGTCTATTCAAAAGGGAAAGAACAGTTTCTTTAACAAATGATGCTAGGAAAACTTGATTTCCATATGCTAATCACAAACAAAAAACACACAAAACTAAGTTGGACCCCCATCTTACACCATATATAAGAATTAATCAAAACGGATCAATGACTAAATGTAAGAACTAAAATCATAATAATCTTAGAAAACATAGAGGTAAAACTTCACAACCTTAGATATGACAATAAATTAATTCTTACATATGACACCAAAAGCACAAGCAACAAAAGAAAAAATAGATAAATTGAACTTTATCAAAATTAAAAACTTTTGTGAGTCAAAGGAAATTACCAAGAAAGTAAAAAGACAAACCACAGAATGGGAAAAATATTTACAAATTATATATCTGATAAAGGTCTAGTATCCAGAAAATATAAAGAATGCTTACAACTCAACAATTAAAAAAACAAATAACCCAATAAAAAAAATGGGCAAAGGACTTGAATAGACATTTCTCCAAATATATAAAATGGCTAACAAGCACATGAAATTATGGTCAACATAATTAGTTATTAGGGAAATGCAAATCAAAACCATATGGAAATACCACTTCATACTTATTAGGATGGCTATAATCAAAAAGACAGACAATAACAAGTGTTGACAAGGATGTGGAGAAATTGGAACCCTC